TATCAAGAGGGAACACATATTATACTGCTTTAAAGAAATTCATCCATCTATATTCCCACATAAATCTTTACCAAAATCTTCAGGAAAGAATAACAGACAGTTTTCTCACTCCTTGCACCCTTGGGATTCTCCAAATATTCAAGTAAGAGATTAAAATATTTAATTGCCCCCTCTTACTCAAGAATAAAGTTTTTGGTAAGTGGCCTTGAAAAGATTGATATACTATGATGACAACAGACACAATAATCTACCATTTGAGTCGGATGCAGTGGCTCACACCTATAATTCCAGCATTTCGGGAGGCAGAGGCAAGAGGACTGCCTGAGTCCAGGGGTTCGATACCAGCCTGGGCAACTTGGTGAAACCTTGTCTCCATAATAAATCAAAAAATTACCCAGGTTTGGTGGTGCATGCCTGTGGTTCCAGCTACTTGGAAGTCTGAGGCAGAAGAATCACCTGAGCCCAGAGGCTGAGGTGGCTGTGAGTATGCCACTACACTCCACCCTGGGCGACAGAGTGAGACTCCAACTCAAAAAAACAGTTATTCACCCTCAGTACACTGTAGTTACTATTCTACTATCTTTTGATTCTTATTTCCTTTCAGTAAGTCAGCTGTTAGCCTAATTGGAGACCTTTTGAAAGTGATCTGTCTTCTTCTGGCTATTTTTGAGACCTCTGATCATCTGCAAGTTGAGCTATGAAGTCTTTACGTTTAGATTTCTATTTATTCTGCTTAGAATTATTTGACGACTTTTTTTTTAACAGATGGAGGAGTTGCTCAGCTGACACAATCATAGCTCACTCCAAGGCTCAAGCAATCCTCCTGCCTCAGCCTCCCAAGTAGCTGAACTTATAGGCGCATGACACCAAGCCCAGTTAAATTTTTAGAAGTGGGGGTCTCACTACGTTGCCAGGCGGGTCTCTAACCCCTGGCTTCAAATGACCCTCCTGCCTAGGCCTCCAAGACACTGGGATTAAAGGCATAAGCCACTGTGCTTATTTGACTCCTTTTTTTGTCTTTTTGCAGTTTTGAAAATTCTCCTTAAACATTCTTTCTACTTGTCTTTCCTTTGCATCTGGAATTCTGGGTAGACAACTATTAGACCTTTTCATGCTCTTTTTATAAAAGTTAGAAAGTAGACTTGGAAGCCGGGCTCGGTGACTCAGCCTGTAATCCCGCGCTTTGGGAGGCTGAGGTGAATGGATTGCCTGAGCCCACGGGTTCGAGACTCGCCTGGGCAACTTGGCGAGACCTCATCTCTACAATAAATCAAAAATTAGCCGGGCGTGTAGAGCGCACCTGTAGTTCTAGCTACTCGGAAGGCTGAGGCGGAAGGACTGCCAGAGCCCAGCAGGTAGAGCCTGCGGTGGCCGGGAGCAGCCACGGCACCCCAGTCTGGGTGACAGAGTGAGACTCCAAATCCAAAAAAAAAGAAAGTAGACTTGGCTGCTGTAATAAGAGACCCTACAGTGGCTTCACTACAATTCGAGGTTATTTTTCCCTTCCATGACAGTTGGAAAGGGTAGTCCAGAACTTGTCTGGCAGTTCAGCCGTCCGAAAGCGTCAGGCTCTTACATTTTATTCTCTGCCCTCTTCTGAGCACTGCCCTCTTCTACACAGTTATAAATAGCTCACCACCATGTCTACATTCTGGTCCATGGAAAGGGAGAAAGTGGAAGAATAGGGCATGCCCCTTTCCTCCTCGAGGGACGACCTAGAAGTCACACCCATTCCCATTTGCATCGCAAACTGCCAAAGCCTTGTCACAGTCAAATCTCACTGCAGGAAAGGCAGTGAAATGAAGCTCTAGCTGGGCTCAAACATCCAAATGATATATCCAGTACTCATCAGAAGGAGTAGGTATCAGGGAAAACCAGCAATTTCAGCCATATTGTTCCAAGTTTCTTTTCTTCTCTTACCCATTTTCCATTCCTGACTCTTTATTTTGGCTGACTTATTTTTCACACCATCTTCCAGTTCACTAATTCTCTAGTACAATCTATTGTTAAACTTGTTCACTGAATTTAAAGATTTTTATTTATATAATTCATTTCTAAAAGTTACCCCCCCAAAAAATACCAAGCTATTTGTAACTTTTAATAGTCTCATTAACGTTCTCATAACCAGTATAATGAAATGGTTAAAAGTATGAATTTAAGCTCCATACTACCTGTCTAGAACCCTGACTCTACCACATACTAACCTTGGTCAAGTTACTCACCCATTCTTTGCTTTAGTTCCTTCACCTGTAAAATGGCAATAATAATAGTCACTACTTTTCAGAGTTGTTCTGAGAATTAATTGAATTAATATTTAAAGTACTAGAATGGCTCAAGGTTCACAGAAAATACTACAAAATGTTAGCTATCATAATACTATCATTTTTGCTAAACATACTGATTTTAACTCTATATCTAATAATTCTTTTTTTTTTTTTTTAAACGAGATAGAGTCTCATTCTGTTGCCCAGGCTAGCTTTTCCTTTTCTTTTTCTTTCTTATTTTTTTTTTTTTTTGAGTTGGAGTCTCACTCTGTCGCCCAGCTTGGAATGCAGTGGCACGCTCACAGCCACCGCAGTGTCGACCTGCTGGACTCAGAGGCGATCCTTCTGCTTCAGCCTTCCAAGCAGCTGCAACTACAGGTGCGCGCTACCATGCCCAGCTAATTTTTTATTTATTGTAGAGACGAGGTCTTGCCAAGTTGCCCAGGTTGGTCTCGAACCCATGGGCTCAGGCAATTCACTCGCCTCGGCCTCCCAAAGTGCTGGGATTACAGGCTGAGCCACTGAGCCCGGTCCCTTTTTTTTTTTCAGAGATAGGGTTTTCACTATGTTGCTCAGACTGGTCTCAAACTCCTGGGCTAAAGCGGTCCTCCCACCTTAGACTCCCAAAGTCGTGAACCACAGTGTCCAGTCCCATATCTAATAATTCTAAAATATTAAGTAAATGGGAGTCCAATTCTGCTGTCTGTCATTTTGGCTGGTCACTGTTTTCAGTACCTTTCTTTTCTGAGTTGTGTAATTCTTTACTGTGATGTGCATTTGCTTCTGCGAAGTGCCTGGGGCTAGAATTACTTTAAATCATAGTTGAAGTGTTAGGTATTTTCCTACCACAAAAAGTGTAATTTAGATATGAAAACACAACATAAATGCTAGGTTGTAACCATACACTGTCCAAGAGTAACACCCCCCAAACCTGTACCACCATTTCAACTTAATGCCACAATGTAAAACAATTTTCCTTGCAGCTGGCATGGGTGAGGGGTGTAAAAACACCCAGTGGGATGTCTCTCCATAGACTGAGTTTAGTATCCTCTGCCACCTATCCTCTGTTTCTCCCAAGGCAATGAACCCATAAGCTCAAGTTCACCCCTAAGTAAATGCCCTCAAGACAAAAAGGCCCTAAGTGCTGGCTCTAGTTTCCACTTACTTTTTTTTAGCCTTAGAACATGTCATAAAATGTCAGTTCCTGATATTATTCATTTAGGTTTACGGTTGTAAAAGGGACTTAATTTTAAAAATCTTACATGGTCAATATGCACATCTTCACAAATGAGAAGTCATGAGTCTACAGTGAATTAAAAATTTTCTTTATAATATTCTAAGCATAAAATTATGAATATTAGTGCCATAAAAATTTTAGTGTGATAATTTAATCATGGGATACTACTCTGTATTTGTATCACTACTTTTTTAAAGAGTGGAGAAGAGAGAGAGGAGGGTGTCAGAATCACCCGGGTAAAGAACCCATAACCCTCCAGGCAGAGAGAGTCTATCAGTTCTGTTCTTTTGCACAACCGTGACTCTAGGAAGCAGCCATTATTGCTCTCCTAGGACTACTGAAAAGGCCTCTTAACTAGATAGTGTGGCTCACTTGGGTTCCTCTACATTGCGACCAGAATGATCTTTTCAAGATACAAATCTTATCATGGCTACCACCCTCCCTAGACAAATAATTTCTATTTGTTGTTATGATAAAGATTAAACTCCAAAACAAGTCCTCAAAGCTCTTAATGATTTGGCTCCCATCTGTTTTATCTCACTCCATACCCCTAGTTACTCTCTATGCCAGCAGCACTGGCCATTTTTCAGTTCCTTAAACCGCATATGCTCCCTTCTGCCCCAGAGCTTTTACACAGGCTGCTCCCTTTGTCTGAAATTCCTTGTTCTTCCTTCTCCACTTAGTTAACACCTGCTCTTGTCCTTAGATTTTTTTTTTTTTTTTTTGAGTTGGAGTCTCACTCTGTCGCCCAGACTGGAGTGAAGTGGCCACTCGACCTGCTGGGCTCCGGCGATCCTTCCGCCTCAGCCTTCCAAGTAGCCGGAATTACAGGCATGCACTACCACGCCCGGCTGATTTTTTGATCGATTGTAGAGATGAGGTCTCGCTGTCCAGGCGGGTCTCGAACCTGCGGGCTCAGGCCTCCCAAAGGCACGGGATTACAGGCTGAGCCACCGAGCCCGGCTTCTTAGATTTCATCACAAGTATTAATTCCATAAAATATCCTGTCCTGATTGCTATTAGTAAAAACCTTAGACTCTCTTGTAGTATTAGGTATTTTCACAAGTAATAAAAATGACCGTTGATTATCACTGCTTTTTTTTTTTTATTTGATTACCAAAATTAGACTATAAGCTTCAAATGGACAGGGTCATTTGTTTTGTTCACCTACAGCACTAAAGCTGGCATATGTGTTAAATATTTATTATATGCACGAATGAACAAATGTCCTAGGAGTTCAGCACAAATTGATGATTTATAGGGGACTGTACTTCCCTGACACATATCTTAAAAAGGAAAGCCCCAAATATATACATATACATATACACACACACACACACACACTCATATAATATTGCTTTGTGTAATTCATATAAACTAGAAGAGTTTAGGTTATAGAGTTAATAAAATATATTAAATAATACTGAGAAAAATGTTGAATGTCATACAAATTATTTGCTACATATAATAATCCCCAAATTATTGTTAATCTAATTTACATTCTACTTCTAGAATATCTGTAATGTGATCTGAGTTTTTACATTCAGTACTACTATGTTGTTATAAATAAGGAGTTTGTTATCTAACTATCAAAAGTCTCAAGACAGATTGTTTTAATAATTCATTTCAGGTTTTAGGTATGAGAAGTAATAAATATATGCACATGTTGCATGACTAAATGTTGCCACATAGAATCAGACAAAAACTCCCTAAATGAATTTTGGTAGGTATCAATATCAAATAATATAAACATGTAATTTGAGAAGAGATATATCATTCTGATTTTTTTCTGAAAGACAAGTAGGAAAGTAAACATTTTTGTGAAACAACTCAAACACGACAACTTTGAATTTTCATATCATGAGTCAAATGAGTTGTTAATCTCAAATAATACTTGTATGCTTTGAAGACTTCAAAAAAGGACAAAAAATCATACCATTTTCTTTATGCTTTACCTCAATGTGTTTTTTGGGGTTGGAGTATTACCCTGTTGCCCAGGCTGGAATGCAGTGGCACTCTCACAGCCACCCCAGCGTCAACCTGCCGGGCTCCTGCAATCCTTCCACCTCAGCCTTCCAAGTAGCTGGAACTACAGTCGCACGCTACCACACCAGGCTACCTTTTGATTTGTTGCAGAGACGAGCTCTTGGCAAGTTGCCTGGGCTGTTCTCAAACCCGCAGACTCAGGCAATACACTTGCCTCGGCCTCCCAAAGTGCTGGGATTACAGGCTAAGCCACCGAGCCCAGTCGCAATACATTTTAAAAATATTCTCCCTTTATCGATTGTATTAGTTTAATTTAAATTGTCAGTAATCAAGGTTACATCTAACTAACTACAAGAGGTGGGGACTCCCAAAAAACCCTGAAATAATCTTTTGGAGAGCAGGCCTCTTGTAGTTCACTTGGAATTTGTTCCTCTGGTTCAAATGGTCAACCAAAGTTTTTATCTGGAAATTTTGAGAGGGCTACATAATGATTTGCGAAAAAAATATCCCAAGCTGTGGCAAACAGGTGACTGGTTCTTCCACCGTGACAACATACCTGCCTACATTGTGCTGAACGTTCAGCAGTTTTTGAGCAAAAACAGCATGATCCCCATAATCCACCCTACCTATTCACCAGATCTCTCCCGGAGTGACCTTTTTTTTGGTTTCCTCAATGAAAAATGTCCTCAAAGGGAAGTGTTATTACAAAAAATGGTAGACGCACTAGATGGAACAAAAAAATGGTAGACACACTAGAACGCACCAAAATTGACAAGTTCAAAAGTTGTTCTGAGCAGTGGAAAAAGCGTCTCGATAGATGTATTGCATTAAACTGAGAATACTTTGAAGGTAGCTGAAATTTAAACTTGTAACAATACATACATAATTTTTTATAAATAAATTCTGAGTTTTTTGGGGTCTCCTCTCATATATCATCAGATTGAGTCTTTTCTCTCTTAAGAGGAACAAGTATTTTGGAAGTAAATGAAAGGAGATGAAAATATGTTTAAGACAAAATATCAAGGTTACTATAATTGTTACTTTAAATCAGATTATATATACAAAGTAAAACTCCTCATATTAAAATGATACATCACTTCCTGTATGTCAAAGGCCCCCTGACTATAACTTATCCTCCTAAATGTTGAATACTGGGAATGCCTCTAATTAACATACGAAAGGAGAATATCACAGTATCTAAAAATATCCTGTACTCTGTGCCTTTGGGAACGACATGTGCTCTTGGATTCATGAGCTGTCAAAAAACAGTGAATGCCTTATCCTGTTTTAGCAACATAGTAAATCATCGAAAGTACATCACCAAGAAATGTCTGCCTCATGGAAATGGAAATAAAAGACTGCTTTTTACATGTATTACCATCTACTTAGTAAAATGAATATTCTTCTGTAACTATTATCATCACAGGCAAACAAAACTTTTGTAAACTATGCAGAAAAAAATTTTAAGGCCATGACTAATACCGTCTTTTTTTTTTTTTTTAAAGTAATAGGTACTGGAAAACAGTACACACTATCACAATTTTAATCACTTAATATCCAGAATTAGCTTAGTCGAATTTCTGCACACACACCAACTTAGAGCTCTAGATGCTTCTTAATATATGTAGCAGTGATAAACACTTTTCAGGTCAGCCTGGGCTTCGAGTGTCAGCTCAATGGGTCTGCCAGCCGAGTCCCAGAAAGGGTCAGTTTGAGGGGCTGGCAAGCCTAGCTCCCCAAGCGTTGGCTCTAATGGGCTGGCAAGCCAAACCCCAAGTGTCGCTGATTCGGTGGGCTGACAAGCCTAGCCCCCGGAGTGTCTCAGCTTCACAGCCTCGCCTTCTTCCAGCAGCTCTTCCAGTTCTCCCGGCTCAGTGGGCTGGCAAGCCAGCCTCCAGGGTTCACGGTCCTTTGCTCCAGTGATCTTCTGCAGCTCTTCAGGTTGGGGCTCTTGTCTTGTGCCCAGGAAGAATGAGGGACACGGACACCGGAAAGTGAGCAAGCAGGATCTTCTGAGAGGACAGAAAAGCGCCCACAGTGGGAGGGGACTCGAGGGGGCTGCCCATGACTAATCCTTTCCAGGCTGACCAAAATACATTTTTTTCTTAAAAGATACATTTGACCAGGTGTATTAAATTATGCTAAGTATAAAGCTAAGCATATCAATTCTAGAATCTTGATAACACATTTCCATAAAGAGATATTACTCTAACTTTATTCCCTTAACAGCACTGCTGCATAAACAATATATAAGATATTTCATAATCTTAAAATTAAGACTTACACAAAAGCAAGTCAAAGCTAAGGAAGAAGTATGAATTTGGAGTAATTTCTAAAGCAAAAAGGCATAATTGTCATTAAATTTCTGATAGACTATTTTTCACCACTTCTATTGATGTAAAATGTCGTAACCTTTCCTGGAAGGGAAGTAAAACCATGTGATCAACAGCAACTAAATTGTATACAGCATTCTGTCATTTACAAAGCTCTTTCTTTTGTACATATATATAATTTTTAGGTAATCCAAATATAATTTTTTTTTTTTTTTTTTTGAGTTGGAGTCTCACTCTGTCGCCCAGACTGGAGTGCAGTGGCCGCTCCCGGCCACCGCAGCCTCGACCTGCTGGGTTCCAGCGATCCTTCCGCCCTCAGCCTTCCAAGTAGCTGGAACTAC